TCTGCTTCTGAGCTATTACGTTTTCTCAACCCATCATTCTCTTTTCTAATTATTTTTTGCTCCTCTGTTCCTTCTTTCCTTAGTTGCACAATTATACAACCTCTATTATCATTATTATTAGTTGAATTAAAAATCTTATCATTTTTTTTATTCAATAAACCCTTAGTCTCTGAGTCTATTTTTTGGAGCTTTTTCTTTTTAATTTGTTTCTGTTTCTCGTCTACTACGTTTTCTTAACCTGTCATTCTCTCTCCTAATTATTTTTTGCTCCTCCGTTTCTTCCTGCCTTACTTTCTTCATTCTTTCTTTAGCTTTTATTGCACACAATCTTTGTTTATCATTTTCTTCATTTAAAAAACACTTACTTTTGGGGTGCTCAATTATACAACCTTTATTGTCATTATTACTAGTAGAATTACAACTTTTATCATTTCTTTCATTCAAAAATCGCTTAGCCTCTGAATCTATTTTTTGGAGCTTTTTCTTTTCAATTTCAGTTGCTGTTTCTCGTCTATTACGTTTTTTTAACCTATCATTCTCTCTCCTAATTATTTTTTGCTCCTCCGTTTCTTCCTGCCTTACTTTCTTCATTCTTTCTTTAGCTTTTATTGCACACAATCTTTGTTTATCATTTTCTTCATTTAAAAGACATTTACTTTTGGAGTGCTCAATTATACAGCCTCTATTATCAATATTACTAATTGAATTAAAATTATTATTATTTTTTTGATTCAAAGAACACGTAGCCTTTGACTGCTCCATTGTTACAATTTTAATATTATTACAAGGGTGTGTCTTCAAAAAATTATAAGAATTTGTTTTTTCATATTTCAAAAGACGCTTCCAATCACACTCTACAATCGAATGTCTCATATTTGATCTTCTCATCTCTGAAAACTGACATAGACGATTATCTTGAAACATTTTGTTTAAATGCTGCCTTATTTTGTTATTTATGCTTTCGTAATTAACAGTGTTTGACATAACATTATAAAATAATGATGTTGCAAATGCTATTGCATATACTCCGCATTCAACACTACCCATTGGTTGTTGATCAACAGTAACAAAAACTACTGGTGGCTTAAAAGGATATAATCTACTTAAATAATTCAACTGATCTCCATTCAGACATTTTTCATTAAGACTATCAAAAATATAAATTCTTACTCCATCGTAATACGTACAAATCCAATGACCCCTCTTACTATGACCACTAAATAGTATTTGAATATGTTTTTCGCCTACTCCAATAGGTCTAATATATTCAAGCAGATCTTTATTTACAAATAAAGTACTTTGCATTCTAAACACAGAATTTGATTCTCTTTCCAAAATTTTTCCAAATTCATAAATATGATTATCACTTAACATTTTTTTATTATTAAGTATTTCTCTATATTCTCTAGCACTTAAATTAACATGACCTTCTATTCTCGACATTTTTTAATCAATATTTTCTTCTTAATCTAACTTTAATTCTAATTTGTGGGTTTTGATAATAATAATTACGTTTTCCCAATTTATATTTTCTACATCACAATTTCATCAATTCTTACAAAATCATTGTCTCCTATATCATTAATACAAACTAACCAATATTTAACTCATAAAACAATATTCAAGATTTCAACTAATAAAGTGTATTTACTCCATTTCAAATAAGCCACATTCCAATTCTATCCAATATTTAATTATTTAACCAACATATCAATATTTAACCAATCAAATCATATTTAACCCATAAAACAATGTTTTTGAATTCAACAACCAATATTCTATTTAATTCATTTTTAATATGTCAAATTCCAATTTTATTCAATATACATATCCAATAAGCCCTAAATTCAATTTTATCCAATATATATTCTATTTAATATATTTCAAATTCGTCAAATTCCAATTTCATCCAATTTACTTATCCAATAAGCCTAAGTTCAATATTATCCAATATATTCTATTTAATCTATTTCAAATTCGTAAAATTCCAATTTTATCCAATATATCCCCTTATTCCATTTTAAATACGTCAAATTCCAATTTCATTCAATATATTTCTCTTTAATACATTTTAAATTTTAAATACTTTAAATTCCAATTTCATCCAATATTCAAATTTCAATTTTATCCAATATTTCTTTTCTTATCTTTTATTTCATCCAATATCTAAATTTCAATTTTATCCAATATTTCTTTTTTTATCTTTTATTTCATCCAATATCCAAATTTCAATTTTATCCAATATTTCTTTTCTTATCTTTTATTTCATCCAATATCCAAATTTCAATTTTATCCAATATTTCTTTTCTTATCTTGTAAATAAAAAAAAATCAAATGTTATTCAAAACAGAAAAAATATCAAATTTTATTCAAAACAGAAAAAAATGTCAATTTCTTTATCCTTAAAATTCAAAATGAAAAAAACTATATCAAATGATAATATAATATTTAAAAAAATATAACTATACCTCTCACAAAACACTTTAATTAACTCTCTACAAATTGTAGAGAAATTATACAAAAAAAATAATAGAAAATGTCTAATGTTATCCAAAATAAAAAAAGTATATCAAATAGTAATGTGATATATTCAAAAAATGAATATACCACTCACGAAGCACGATTGTTAACTTTCTACACTACATACAAGGAGTGATGTCCAAGTTAGTCCCGTGAGGGAAAGAAGCCTTCCCCCACCATACGGCACACCAAGTCAAAACTGAGTCCCGAGCAACCCTCACAGCGGGGATCGCTCGGACCCTTAAACCCTCATTAACCCTTTAACGCCCAAATGGACAAAATTTTGGCATGAACTTTGAGGATTTATTTCGGTACTTAAAAATCAATAGAAAAATTCACGAATCGTGAGTTCTTATGTTTTCATATGCGCTCTATCGAATGGCGTTAAAAAAATCAAAAATTTATAAACAAAAAAGTTATTAATGTTTTTTATAAAAAAAGTCCGTTTTTTTCCAATTTTTGTTTAATTTTCAATTTTTTCTACTATGAAATAGCGGCGAAATAATTCCAAATGTTACAAATAACGTGACATAGATATATAACCTAGAAGATAGGACTATAGAGAAAATTAAAAATTAAAATGGCGGCTCAAAAATGGAGTTTGAAATTCAAAATTTTTTCAAAATTTGATTCGAAAGTACGAAATTGTTAAAAGTGTTTAGATCACCTTGAAATTTGTTACTCGGTGGTTTTAGGGGTCGCTGATCACGAATATGTCCAATTTTCAAAATTCAAAATGGCGGATCCAATATGGCGGACAATTTTTTTAAAAATTTATTAAATTTGATTGAAACTTGTTACTCGGGGGTTTTTGGGGTCGCTGATTATGAATCTGAAATCCAATTTTCAAAATTCAAAATGGCGGATCCAATATGGCGGACAATTTTTTTAAAAATTCATTAAATTTGCTTGAAACTTGTTACTCGGGGGTTTTTGGGGACGCTGATTATGAATCTGAAATCCAGTTTTCAAAATTCAAAATGGCGGATCCAATATGGCGGACAATTTTTCTAAAAAAACATTAGATTCGCTTGAAACTTGTTACTCGGGGGTTTTTGGGGTCTCTGATTACGAATATAATGTCCAATTTTTAAAATTAAACATGGCTGCTCCAATATGACATACGAATTTTCAGTTAAAATTCGATAATCACGTTCTTTAGCCATTAAAATAATTAAAATATTTTTAATATTTCCCAACTTTCACCACGTGGAGGTAAACGTGAACTGGAAAGTCTTTTTTTTTAATTTTTAAATTTTATATTTTTTTTACTTTTTTATTTTTTCCTTTTTTTATTTTTTATGTATTTTTCTTCTTTTTGTTTGTTATTTTTTAATTTCAAGGTCAATTAATGGAAATGTATATGTTTTTTTTAATTATTACTTATTATAAGGTCAAATTAAAAAGAACAATTTTTTTTATCTCCAGCTTGTAGCTCTTGTAAAACCTTACAAAAATCATTATTCACAGTTATAATTCGATCAATTATTCTTATCAATATATTAAATCTAAAAAAGAAATTAATTAATTAATAAATAATTAATAATTAATTAATTATTTATTAATTTATTAATTATAAATTAATAAATTTTATATATATATATATTTAATTCATTAATTTATTTTTTTAATTATTTGAATTTTTTATTTTATTTATTTATTTATTATTTATTAATTATGTATACATATATATATATTTTAATTTTAACCAGAGTTAAAATTGAGAAAATTATACACAACAGAAAGCGTACAAATCTGCGGTACGAATGAATAAAAAGAAACAGAACATTTATTTTTCAAACATGTTTAAATTTCGCGCCTAAATATTAATTCAAAACTATCCAATAGATGGATGTCTTTCTCACAGTAAAGTTAAATCTAGCTTGTTATATATACTAGCACTGCTTCCTCGACTTTTGTCTTTAAGAAATATATTATCTATTTCTTTTCATACATTGAGCGGGTTTGTACGTTTTTTCTTTTTTTTAATATTCTTTATTCTAGGTCTGCGTTTGGTAAGTATATATATATATTTTTTTTTTCGTATATATTATAAAAATATATGTTTTTTTTGGATTTTTCGCGTCTTTTCTAATTTGGCTAGTAGAAAATGTCTCGTTTGAAGAGAACGAAGTCTGTGGTTAATTACAGTGAAGTATTTGAGGATGATGATAGTATTCAAATATCTTTAATTCCTAATCCCAATACTTCTGATGTTGAAGATAAATCAGATGGTGACACTGATAATGAAAATAGTAATCATTCTGATATTGAGAATGAAATATTATCTTATAGAAAAGTCTTTGAAAATTACAACGAAACACAGAAATATTTAAAAAATAATCATGAATATAAATGGGTCGATGGTGAAAAATCTTATCATAATGTATTGAGTAATGAATATCTTTTAGCCGAGAAAGATAAAAAAGATACGTGAGAGTACACCTGTTGAGCTTTTTGAAATGTTTTTTTCTTTAGCTATGAAAGAACATATCATTGATGCTTCAGGTCAAAACGGTTTACAGATTCCCTTGCACGAGTTTGATGTATTTATAGCCATTATAATACTGTCATCGTTTAATACTCGTAATTCTGAAAGAGACTACTGGTCAAATGATCCTCTGTTGGAATGTGCTATTGTAAAATCAGCCATGTCAAGAAATCGTTTTTTAGAAATAAAAACCGGTATAAAATATTCGGAAAAAGAAGAAGAAAGCTCAACAGATTTTGCATGGCGAGTACGTACTCTTTTAAAAATGTTTAATTTTAACGTAAAGCGTTTCGGTTTTTTTCAAACTGCTATCTCAGGGGATGAAATGATGGTAAAGTTTTATGGTCGATTACGGTTTAAGCAATACATTCGTACTAAACCTGTCCGATTTGGGATAAAGTTGTGGGCATTATGCGGTTCTGACGGATTCTTATTTGAATGCGACATATACTGCGGGAAGAATGCAAAGACCGATGGTGCCCTCATCAAGTGCGCTTTGGGAAGTCGCGTAATTTTGAAATTAACTGAGCAATTGCTTATGACAACTTCCAGAAAAAAGATAGAAGCTTATCATTTATATTTCGACAATTATTTTTCCAGTCCAGACCTACTCATTCATCTAAAAAAAGTAGGATTAAATGCAACTGGTGTTGTCCAAAAAAATCGTGTGAAAGAAAAAAATAGTTTAGAAAAAAATCCAAAAAGAGGATCGTTTAAAGTAAAACATGAGAAAAACAGTGGCCTAAACTATATCACACTTATGGACTCAAAAGAAGTTTCTCTCCTTTCCACTTGCGCTGGCATTTCTCCATTACAAGATCGAAAACGTTACTCAAAAGAAAAAAAATGTAGAGACGTAATTGCCATGCTGAGTGCATTTTCAAATTATAATAGTTACATGGGTGGTGTGGATCTCCATGACCAGTATTGCAGTTACTTGCTACCTTCTTTTAGAAGTAAAAAATGGCCATGGCCAGTACTAATGCGATTGATTCAATCGTCAATTACTAATGCTGTGATACTACACAATGCTGTTCAAAAAGATGGAAAAAAACACCAGCAAAAGATTTCGCAATGAGTATTGTTAGGCATTATATTGAAAAAAATATGAACGACGGAATAAAAAGTCATAATTTAGAAAAATCTCAGAAAAGAAGATATTGCTCTTCAGAAGGTTGTGAAATCAGAACACATTTCTTTTGTAAAATGTGCGACTCATTTTTCTGCAAACAGTGTTTTGATACTAAGCATAAGTAATGATGAAAATAATACATATATACATTTCCATTTTTTGACCTTTAAATTAAAAAATTATAATAACAAAAAAGAAGAAAAATACATAAAAAATAAAAAAAGGAAAAAATTAAAAAAAAAATATAAAAAATAAAAAAGTAAAAAAAAATATAAAATTTAAAAATTAAAAAAAAAGACTTTCCAGTTCACGTTTACCTCCACGTGGTGAAAGTTGGGAAACATTAAAAATATTTTAATTATTTTAATGGCTAAAGAACGTGATTATCGAATTTTAACTGAAAATTCGTATGTCATATTGGAGCAGCCATGTTTAATTTTAAAAATTGGACATTATATTCGTAATCAGAGACCCCAAAAACCCCCGAGTAACAAGTTTCAAGCGAATCTAATGTTTTTTTAGAAAAATTGTCGGCCATATTGGATCCGCCATTTTGAATTTTGAAAACTGGATTTCAGATTCATAATCAGCGACCCCAAAAACCCCCGAGTAACAAGTTTCAAGCGAATCTAATGTTTTTTTAGAAAAATTGTCCGCCATATTGGATCCGCCATTTTGAATTTTGAAAACTGGATTTCAGATTCATAATCAGCGACCCCAAAAACCCCCGAGTAACAAGTTTCAATCAAATTTAATAAATTTTTAAAAAAATTGTCCGCCATATTGGATCCGCCATTTTGAATTTTGAAAATTGGACTTCAGATTCGTGATCAGCGACCCCTAAAACCCCCGAGTAACAAATTTCAAGCTGATCTAAATTAACTTTTAACAATTTCGTACTTTCGAATCAAATTTTGAAAAAATTTTGAATTTCAAACTCCATTTTTGAGCCGCCATTTTAATTTTTAATTTTCTCTATAGTCCTATCTTCTAGGTTATATATCTATGTCACGTTATTTGTAACATTTGGAATTATTTCGCCGCTATTTCATAGTAGAAAAAATTGAAAATTAAACAAAAATTGGAAAAAACGGACTTTTTTTATAAAAAACATTAATAACTTTTTTGTTTATAAGTTTTTGATTTTTTTTAACGCCATTCGATAGAGCGCATATGAAAACATAAGAACTCACGATTCGTGAATTTTTCTATTGATTTTTAAGTACCGAAATAAATCCTCAAAGTTCATGCCAAAATTTTGTCCATTTGGGCGTTAAAGGGTTAAGGAAAACTGTTAATGACTTTTTCTATAAAAATACAAATTTTTTAAAAAGTAACATTTTTTATTTTTCATTAACATATTTAAATTCCTTACTTTCTTACGATTCTATACATATGTTGTTTACTAAAAAATGTTAAAATTAAAAAAATTTATTATTTTTCCAGATACATAGAATGAAGTTAACTCTACCAAAAACCATACCTATTATTAAATAAATATTTAACTTAATCTTTAAATTTTAACATTTTTTTGGTAAACAACATATGTATAAAATCGTGAAAAAGTAAGGAATTTAAATATGTTAATTTAAAAATTAAAAATGTTACTATTTAAAAATTTATATTTTTCATTATTAATAGAAAAGTCATTAGCAGTTTTCCTTAATGAGGGTTTGAGGGTCAAGCGACCCCCGCTGTGAAGGTTGCTCGGGACTCAATTTCAAGTAGCCCTCGCAGCGGAGGGGGCGTTTTGCTCCCTCTAACGGCGAACAGACATACTAAAAGCGAACAGACAAAATATATATATGCAAATGGAATACGGACTTTAATATTGTTAATTTTAAATATAACCTAAAAATTATTTTAACTAATAATTAAATATAGGTATTATCTTTTAATTGTAGTAAAATTGAAGAGAAAAAACAATTAGCTTTATATTATTTCCCCTATTGCATTATCTCTCTGATACAATGTGGAGAACCCCTGGAGTTAGCCGATAGATACTAGTGGTGGGGGTACGGCGCTCGCAACGACAGTGCGACTTCGCCTTCATGTGGAACCGCTGTTAGGTGCAGTCAGAACGCACAGGTCTGAGAGATGCACTAAAAGCGCGTGCCGCGCGCGCAACGTCTACATTGCTATTAAATTTCTTTTAAACTATTTTCTGTCCCACTCTGAAAATTACATGGCTCATTAGAAAAAACCTCAGCTTTCCGATGAAATTATTTTTTAAAAAAATACCCAAAGCAGTCAAAAATAAAATTTTTTTTTAAAAATTTTATTTAAAGCATCAAAAAGTACATGAAAAATGCTTTAAAATCCGTTATTTACAAATTAAAATCCATAAATTTTTTTCCAACTTATAGGGATTTCAAAATGTCAATGTTCTCTAAAATCTGAAAGTTTTACCCCCCTACTTTCTACAATTTTTTTTCAAATATTTTAATATTCTGGGAATTTGTTACTCTTATATAGGAGAACAAATTACCGAAATACCAAATCAATACCACAACTTTTTTTTTAAAGGTGGTCCACTTCAGAAATTTCGACCCATATGTGTATTAAAAAGTTTCTCTAAGTAAAACTAAAAAAGATAAATCAAAAAATCTTTTTTATTTTTTTAGTAGAAATCATAAGCTTTTAAATGATATAAATTAACTTGGATAATATTTTAAATTAATTAATCGAAAAATTCAATTACTTTAGCAAATAAAGTTTTCCACAAGAGTTTAATTATTTAAAATAAATTTTCATAACATTTATTATATTTCAAAAAATTTAATTGTTTACAACAATGTTTATAAAGTTCTTATCAAGAATTCTATTTTTTTCCAAAATATCAAAATTTTTCACAGAAATTCAATTCTCTTTAAACATTTTAATATAATTTTTAACAATAATTCAATTATTTTATTAAAATAATCTTCTCAGGCATTGAATTATTTTTGAAAATTTTAATAAAATTCTTTGCAATAATTAAATTATTTTCATAAATAATAAAATCCATCGTAGGATTTCAATTATTTTTAATACAATTTTACAAAAATTGCTCAAAAAATGTAATTATTCTTAAAAATTTAATTTCAATTTTTCGAAAAAATATACTTTGACACAATATATCTATGCATCATTTTTTAAAAGTAATTAATAAATATATTCACTTATTTTCAAGTTTAGCCTCTTCTAATTGACGTAGTAAGGACGCCATTTTGAATTTTCAATTCTGCTACTTTGCAATTGAAAGGGAATGTCATGACGAGTATTTTCATGTGTATAACTTGTATTTTGATTGCATTCAATTTTGGAGACAGCTTTGGGCCGTTTGACGTGAAACGTCCCAGACTTAGCTGTCGCTAAAATATGTTATTGTACATGAAAAATAAAGAAACACGTATTTTTTTAATTTTCAAAAAAGATAAATTTAACGAAGTTACGCACATTTCAACTTTTAGTGGTAAAACTCAAATGAACAGTGAAAAAAAATTGTTTCACTTAGCATTTTTTTCCATTAGAGTAGGGTAATGTCACATTGAGTGGACCGCCACTTTGAGTGGACCACCTGAGTTTTTAAGTTATCTGACAGCAGAAACGTGAAATAAATAAAACGAATAGCAGCACCGCACCTAGAAACCGTAAGAATTTATGTTCCGCGATAATCATATACGTTATCGTTTGTTGTAACGCATTTTTAAGAACACAAACCAAAAAAGAAGTCGCTCTTACAATGAGTAAAGTGATTCTGAAGTGTAAAAGTAGTGTAAAATTTAAGTTTTAAAAGGTAACTTAGTTTTTTCCTACTACTTTGGACATTGAAATTGATTGTCTTAGTTTAATTAAGTGATAATTTTGACTCAAAAAAAATTTTGGTGTCTGACAAAAAAAGTTGCATTTCACCATGAGTGGACCACTGTTTATAACCATGACTGGACTGCCTGTTTTTTATATTTTTAATGTCAGTTTACCATTTTAATGGAAATAAATTGACAATAAATTGGTTTAAAACTGTTTTATGTTCTTTATTAATTTTTTTTTGATTTTGATGTGATATGTGCCAAAATTATTGAAAATGGTTTCACTTGTAATCATTGCGACAGAAACATGGTCTGAAGCTGCATAAGCATAAATTTTGTTTCAATATATCAGAAATATTAAATACATTAAAGAATTAAGAATAACTTTTACAATTTTTTAACCCTTTGCGGCATAGTGGTAACCCAGATTACCACCTTTTATATTGTGAAAATATCTGTTTATATACAGTCTTTTTCAAGTAAAATTCAAAAATCTTTGTTTATTAATAATCAAAACATTGTTAAAAGTCCAAAAATTGATAGCGAATGAGGTTACGTGAAATTATAAACAACTATAAATACATTATAATAATCGTAAGTTTCCTTTCCGTTAGCAAATTTTCTGCATTCATTTGTTTGTTTTGAAATAGTACATTGTACAACTAGTGGCGAAAGTGTGATTTTTCGAGAAAAATCATTCTTTCACCACGTGTTGTGCACTACGTTTTCTCCAACGCCTTGCGAGGAAAGGTTTCTTCGTGAGTTTCGTATAATTTTAATTTAACGTGTGCTTATGTTTAATATAATAAAAGACGAATGTTTTGAGTGGGGAAGAAGTTAGATACAAAATATATCTCGGTCAAAGAACAAGAAAAAAGAATTAGGTCATGATTTACTTTCGCCACGCTAAAAATTACTTTCGCCACGCCAAATTTTACTTTCGCCACGCTCTTCAGAGCAATTGAGAAAAGTTCTACTTTCGCCACACTTTTTTACCAAGAAAAGTACTCCTTTCAGAGCAAATGTTGAAGAAATTAATTTTTGTGGGTTATTAGCATTTTTTATTTTTTTTAATGTCAAACTTTTTAACGGTTAGGTACCTATGTAGAATTTACAAGACGCATTCCTGTTCTCAATATTTAATTCTATATACAA